CTTGAGTCTTATTTATCAATACATAACTTATTTTAGAGTATTACTAGTTTATAAAATAAATTATTAAAATACTTGTATTAAACTTATTTTCTAAGAAATATAAAATAATTATCCTAAATAGCAATTTCAAAAATAAGGTTTAAACGTTAGAAAGTAGTAGATATGACAGACAGCTACTGTTTTATCAAATAATTAATTCAAATACTCGTTGGACTCGAAGATCAACATTTCTCTTAGATTTACATTTGTCTCAAGTTTACAATTAATGCATTTTACGTGTATTTCTTGTATTTAAGAATTTTGACTTTTCTTTTGATAACTTATTTTTAATATTTAGCAAAATGTTTTGAAATATTAAAAGTAATAAACATAATAAAACATAGTAATATAATTACGTATAACCGGTATCAATTATGAGATTTGTATTATTACTATTATATTTTGAAATATTAATAATTGGACAAGGATGTTGTGTAAATGCATTGACCAAACGGCCAAACATAATAATTATGTTANTATAATTACGTATAACCGGTATCAATTATGAGATTTGTATTATTACTATTATATTTTGAAATATTAATAATTGGACAAGGATGTTGTGTAAATGCATTGACCAAACGGCCAAACATAATAATTATGTTAATGGATGACATGGGTTGGGGTGACTTAGGCATCAATGGAGACCCGGCCCGAGAAACACCTAATTTGGATGCTATGGCTCGTGAAGGGATGCTCTTCACGGACTTCTATACAGCGAACCCGTTGTGTTCCCCTTCGAGAGCATCCCTACTGACGGGACGGTTACCCATAAGGAACGGCTTCTACACCGATAACATCCACGCGAGGAACTCATACACTCCTCAAGAAATTGTCGGCGGAATCAGTGATTGGGAGATATTATTACCAGAATTGTTAGCAGAGGTTTGTTTCAACGTATTTTAAATATTGAAAAACTTGTTTTATATAAGAATCTAAAGTTAGCCAGTATCTATTTAACCTTTAATCTAATTAATTTAATAAAAAAATACTATATTAACTTATTTATTGAATATTAAATGCTTATAATTGGCAGAACGGCTACAGAAATAAAATAGTAGGCAAATGGCATTTGGGTCATCAAAAGCAATACCTACCACTCCGACACGGTTTCCACGAGTTCTTTGGATCAACAAATTGTCATTTCGGTCCATACGATAACAAGAGTCGACCAAATATTGCATTCTTTCGCGACGACCATATGATTGGCCGATATTTTGAAAATATAAAAATCGATAAAAACCAACAGATCTCTGACTTAAGCCAATCATACATCAAAGAAGCCATAAATTTCATAACAACACAATCGGACCCATTCTTCCTATATTGGACCCCAGATTCACTTCACGCACCGACCTTTAGGTCTGTGCCATACATTGGTAGTAGTTCTAGGAGTAGCTCATATGGTGACGCTCTCAGGGAATTGGACGCAGGGATCGGCAAAATTCTCGACACAATCAAACAAAATCAAACTCTCGCTAACAATACATTTGTATTCTTCACGAGTGATAACGGAGCTGCACTGGTATGTCACATGTTTACTGTGTAAATATAGTGTATAATATAATTGACTGAAATTCAATTAATCAAAGGTTAGCACAACAGACGCTGGGAGTAATGGTCCGCTTCTGTGCGGCAAACAAACCACTTTCGAGGGCGGAGTGAGGGAACCGGCGATTGGGTGGTGGCCCTCAAGGATTCCGCACAGCACTGTCAGCAGACAATCGGCTACTATTATGGACTTATTCCGCACCATCTTCTCCATAACAGACATACCGATGCCCATCGATAGGGAATACGATTCTTACGACTTGAGTCCAGTGCTGTTTGCAAATAAAAGGATTGATACGAATATCTATTACTACAGAGGAAATCAATTAATGGCGGTTCGCAACGGTGACTATAAGTCACACTTCTGGACATTTACCAATCCATTAGAACAGTTCAAAACTGGTATCAACTTTTGTCCTGCTAATTTTATCAAATCAATTACAACTCATGCGTTGACTAATTATACTCAAAGTCCAAAATTGTTTCATATGATTAGAGACCCAGGAGAGAGATATCCTATTCCTGAGAATTCTATAGAATATAAGAGTGTTATTCATAAATACATTAATTTATATAATAAGCATATTTCAAACACAATTCCGGGAAAGCCTTTGCTTAATTGGTGTGATAAGGCTGTCATGCATTGGAGTCCTCCCGGGTGTGAGGCTTTAAATATGTGTTTACCAGTACCACAATCAAAGCCATACCGGTGTGATTGGCCACATTAATACATTAATTTAGAATTTCACATCTAATTTGAAATTACATATGTAATGTTCAAATTGAATGTGAAATTCCAAATATATTGTATTCAATTAAATGTGTGGCTTTTATTTTTCAAATAATTTATTTATGTTTAAAATGTAAAAATAATTAAAATAAAAGCGAATATTTGAGTGATTTTTAGCTTCGTTTTCATACAATTGCGATAGAGTTCCGTGTTTTAGAAAAACACAAAATGCAAATGTTATGATCTTGTTATAATATTATTTATGAGATGCATTGTATGCTGAATATTGCGCAATGTATTGCATAAGATCAAGATTGTCATATATTTCTGACAAATTCTTGATGTATATTTAATCTGTATTAAGAACTTACATTATTAATTTTGAAATACCTCGAAATAAAATTATTTTTCGAAAAAATTATAATATTTTAAGCATATTTCCTATTAATTATTAAAATTAGTATGATATAGGATTTCTATCATTCAGTTTAATTATTAAATACATACTTTCAAATTCTGAATTTGTTAATAATTACATTTTAAAAACTCTAAATTAAGACATTATAATATATAAACTATCTGTATACAATCTATTGTTACATATAATATTTATAACAAAGAAAATGGATTTATAATATTATATTATTAAACAGAATCTCATATTTAATACATAATATATTCATGGTATAATCCCAACATTGAATGTATTCAATACACAGTTTAAGTAAAACAGTTTATTGTGAAATATTGAATAAGATTTTGTGAAAATTCTTATAATCTTCTTTTACCTGTATATAAAATATTATATTTTTAATGGACCACTGTAAACAGTTCAAGTTATGTGATTATTAATAATTATAAACAATCAAATAATAAAAAAGGCGATTTATCTTAACATTAAATAAGCAACATAAAAAGGGTCTCACTTATAAATAATCATTGATTATTAATAGTGTTAAAACAATAGCATACAAATATAAATTATTCTTTAAACATTGTATAATATTTGTAAAAAACATTAAAAATAATAATAAATTTTCATAAAACAGGAAAATTAAACCTATAAAATTCGTGGCCTTTTGTATAAGTTATACAGTGTAACATATTTATTATTATATAAAAAATTAAATTAACAAATGTCATTAAAATAAGTTGAGTTTTCAACACTCAATCCGTATTTACAATATTTGATTTACATTGAATGTGTTACTTTGAGTAAGCTTTATTTTTTAAAGTGTTTGTGAAATGATTTGAGTAAAAAATATTTGACAACTTCATGACTTCCTAATAATCTAATGTCACACATAAATGACTAAAAAGTAAATTTCAAACTATTTTGGCTGAGAGGCTCGAGCATATATCTCATTAACAAAATTAATTACCAAACAAATTCTGCGCTAATGTGAATATTTATCTGTAAAGTGTTTGACTCACAAACCGTAATTAAATTGAATTTTGTTTGTTTGAATCGTTTGCAGAATATTCCGTTCATACTGTACAACAAAGTGTATTTATTTTCACTAAACTTGCTATAGATTGGTTATACAGTATAAATTTTGAATTATTTTAAACAGTTTTTATAAAAATTCAAAAATGAAAGCACAGTATAATACTGCAATTAACTTATATTATAACAAAACCTTTAACAACAAATCGATGAACACAAAATTATAATTTTTGAAGATTTTCAATAATCATATTTTACTCCACTTATTATACTGTACATGTATATTTACATGTATGATGACAATTAATAAATATATACTAGATTTTTAAGGTGACTAAAAATAGCTCAAAGCACTCTTAAACAATGTTATATCAAATCAATAATAATATAAGTAATACTTGTTTTTTAGTATTATTGGATTATAATTTCTACATTAATATAATAATGGATCAGCTAATATAACAAAGCTTTAACTAATGGACACATTTTTCACGCAAACTTGAATATACTGCACTAACTTACTGTAGATCTAACAAATAATTGATAAAAACACAAATATTTTTGTTTTGTACTAAAAAGAGAGATTTATTTTGATATAAATGTTTGATTTAATTCATGCCTCAAAACATGACATAATTATTAAGAACTAAAAAGATTTACTGCTCGGCGACCAACTGTACAGAGTATTTGTCAACTAATAGTTATTACTTAGAAAATGTGTGCATTATATTTCACTGTCTTAAAGAATAATAGATAACTTATAAGTTATAAATTATTTGTTTATATTATTTTCTTATATATTAACTTATAATACTCTAATTTTATATATTGGGACCTGGACTCCAATTACATTCTTAATATAAATATTTAAGATAACACTAATATTTAGGACTAATGTACATAATTGAAACTGCTATCAATTCTGTAATTATTAGTAACTATACAATTTTTATAATTAGTGTCCAAAACCTTTTAGCATTTTAGCAAGATTTTATATAAAAAGTAAACCTCTAAATTGTATTAAAATTAAATTTAATTAGCAAAGCACACAAATTATCAATAATTGTAAAAGGGTTGAATTTTTAATGCCAAATTAAATTATTGCATATAATGGATGATTAATTGAAACAGAATTGACAATAAATTGTGAGCAAAACAACACAGAAATCATATAATCATTGCAAACAAACCGATATTTAATATAAAAAATAATTTATTTTAATCAAAATCCATTATAACCGAGAGTACAAAATTATGTCATAAAAAATTGTGGCAAATTGCCATTATAAGACAATAAAATAATAAACATACAAATATTTGGCTTCTGAGTATCAGTGATTGAGTTTTGTATCAATTCTTTCACCACTAATCGTCACTCATATTGTTTTGTGTGTAATATTTCCGTCTCATGGGTTGCGTCCCATTCATAGCTACCTTCATGTAAAGTCGTCTCCCAATCACATATAGGACCCAATCGGCCAAATAAGCCAACAGTTTGTGCTTCCAATGGCCGTATGTATAGTGCTCTACACCGACCGTCTGGATGGCGGCCGACACATAGTCTTCGGCGGACACAGAGATGAGTGGGACGGACACATTGGTTGTCAGTTTGGTGTGCACTTGGTTTGGGACCACTGTCTGCATGTAAACGCCTTTCGACTCGTACTCTACGGAAAGGCCTTCCGATAGAAATGTGACAAACGCTTTGCCTATTCATCGAAATTAGAATTTCATTATAATTACTGTAACAAAGAATTTGTGACATAATTATACTGTAAATACAAGTTATGACTATTAGTTCAGTGAATAATCAAGGCATCAGTTCTGATTGCAATGGAAATAGGATTTCAGTGATAAAATTAGTAACACTGATGGTTAAGATCTGATGATCACTTGTATTTACAGTAATATATCATATATGGAGGGAATGGATGACATACTGGCGCTGTACGTGGTATACATAGGAATGGGTGATTCAGAGGCCTGTGACGAGACGTTTATTATGATTCCTCTTTGGTTTCGACACATTTGTGGCAAAACTATTTCAATCATTTTGACGGCAGAGATCACATTAACGTTCAAATACTGGTCATTATATTTGGGACCAATTTTGAGGAAATATTCGGGGATGTGATACACTGTCCCCACGTTATTCACCAACACATCCACCACTTCCACACCACTCAGCTCGCGAGTGATCTTATCGTAAATGTCTGTACGGTTGAAGTCAACGGCTATTGTCTTCACCTAAAGTTTGTCCACAAGAAGACCGTAAGAAGTGATGTCTTAAGTGAGATAATAGTGAAGACAAACCACTATTATTTTATGAGTATAAACTAAATCTGTTTATTACTTCTATGCATAAAAATCAATGTTTTTACTATCAAAATGTCAAAATTTTTTATAATAATTAAATTATGTTTTATATTTGTATAACACTTTGTTTTTATATAATTTAATCAATAATTACATTTCTTTTCTGTAAATCTTTATGAAGTTTTCTAATAAATTTTTTACCGTTTTATAAATAATGTAATTGCTATATTAATGCTCAATTCTGAATTGGTGGATACTATTAATGATAATTTCATTAAAAGATTCTTTAAGTTCAAAGGAATTGTACAATAAATTTATTTTATTCTTTAAACAGTTATCATATACTAAATAATATAACTTAATAACAATTAGGCTATAATTAGATGTTTTCACAATTTTATTTATACCGGTAAATGGTGTCAACATACTGAATAAATATAGCTGTAGCTATAGATATTGATAAAACTATACAATATAGCCTAAACTGTAGTGTCTGTGTAATGTTTTAGATTAATCCTTGAGTCTTATTTATCAATACATAACTTATTTTAGAGTATTACTAGTTTATAAAATAAATTATTAAAATACTTGT